TATTATCTACACTCCCCAGATAATTTTATGAGGCTATCAAAATTCCACCATTTGACCCAGCTATTGGGGTCTCTATCCAAAAGACTTAAAAACAGCATACTACAGGGACACAGCCAYATCAATGTTTATAGCAGCACAATTCACAATAGCTAAACTGTGGAGCCAACCTAGATGCCCTTCAGTGGATGAATGGATAAAAAAAAATGTGGCATATACACACAATGGAATTTTACTCAGCAATAAAAGAGAATAAAATCTTTTGCAGGTAAATGGATGGCGTTGGAGAAGATAATGCTAAGTGAAGTTAGCCAATCCCCAAAAATGTTTTCTCTGATATAAGGAGGCTGACTCATAATGGGGTAGAGAGGGGGAGCATGGGAGGAATAGATGAATTCTAGGGGGCGGGAGGGGTGGGAAGGAAAGGGAGGGGGCAGGGGATTAGCAAGGATGGTGGAATGTTATGGACATCATTATCAAAAGTACAGGTATGAAGACACGAATTGGTGTGAACAGACTTTATATATAACAAGGGATATGAAAAGTTGTGCTGTATATGTGTAATAAGAATTGTAATGCATTCCACTATCATCATTTTTAAAAAATCAATAAAAATTCAGATATCAAAACCTTTCAAGGTTAAAAATTGATAAATCCTTGATAAAACTTATTGTAAATAAAATAGCAAAAAAATCAGAACTAAAAAATTGCCAACTATCACACTTGAAATAGGCTAAGAAACTATGAAGAGCCCTACAAACATTTAAATATAGATGAATTAGCCTTCCAGTAAAAACAATGCAGGCCTGATTTCTTAACCCTGGAAGTTATCAAATAGTTGTGGAAAAATAATACCAACAATTTTTTCAGTTCTAAGGATTGAACCCAGGGCCTTGTGCATACTAGCCATTTTTCTTAAAAATTTTTGTAGTGGTAGATGGACAGTATGCCTTTGTTTTATTTATTTTTTTGTATGCAGTGCTAAGGATTGAACCCACTTTCTCACACATGCTAGGCAAGTGTTCTGCCACTGAACCACAGCCCCATCCCCTCAATGCCCTTTTAAAATATAATTTTTGAGATGGTGTCTCCCTACAATTGTCCATAGATGGCTGATTCCATTCCTCAGGATTCAAAGTAAGGCAGGACATCATGGCAGAAGAATGTGGTAGAGCAAAGTGGCTCAGGACATTGCATTAGGAAGCAGAGAGAGACTCCCTTTACCATGGACAAATATATACCACAAAGGCACACCCCAGATGATGCACCTCACCCTACCTGCCCACAGTTAATCCCTATCAGTGAATTAATGCACTGCTTAAATTAAGACTCTCATAATCTAATAATTTCCCCTCTGAACTTTCTTGCGTTATTTCACAATGAGCTTTTGGGGGACACGTCATATCTAAACCATAACAGACAGAGTATTTTATATATATATATATATGTATATATTAAAAATGTATATATACATATATATATGTGTAAAGAAAATTACAAAGAAAATGTAGAAAATTATATATATAATAAACATATATATATTACATATGTATAATATAAAAATATGTATATCCATTCGCTACAAATAATGAGGCTAGCAAAATCCAGATACCAGACCTTCCAAGGTTAAATTGAAAAAGATGATTCAAAGTCCATTTTCCTTATGCATTTAAGTAAAATATTCTTTAAAATATGGGAAATTTAGATCAATCAAATTTTTTTAAAGTTTTATAAACCAAGTTGGTTTTAGCCCAGGATTGCAGTATTGATCTTATATGAAGAATCAAATTGCTGGGTGTGGTGGCAAGTGCCAGTAATTCCAGTGACTTGGGAAGCTGATGCAAGTTCAAGGCCAGCCTCAACAACCTAACAAGACCCTGAGCAACTAGGCAAGACCCTGACTCAAAATAAAAAGTAAAAATAAAACATACTGGGATATAGCTCAGTGGTAAAGCACTCTGGGTTCAATCCCCAGTACCAAAACAAACAAAAATTAGGAAGATAGAAAGGAAGTATCAGAAAAACTTACTTATAAAAAGGTTGGGACTGTAGCTCAGTAGAGGCCCTGGGTTCAAATCACCAGCACTATAAAAAYGACAAACCAAAAAGGAAACTTAATGAAGAAAGATTGAAACCTTGCACTTGGATATCAGAAGTAAAACAAGGATTTTTGCTTGTACTAGCATATTTTATCCAGAAAAAAATAGAGTGATTAGAAAGTAACAGCTGCAACTGCCATTACCTGCAGATTATTATGTACATAGAAAATTCAAAAGGATCTAAAGATAAACTCTTACAGGGAATAAATTTATATTTATAATCATACAAATMTTAATTGTATTTTTGTTCACCCACCATAAAGAGTTATAAAATAAAATTTATATTAGCTTTCATATMCACAAAAATAGCCAGCTAGATTATAAATAAGAGATAATATGCCTTTTGCAGTATAAAAATAAAATAAAGTGCTTGGAAGTGCCTTAACTCAAAAACAGCAACACCTAGGTGAGGAAAACTATTTGAAAAACAAGAATCTTTAGACAGATACAAAATTTGACTTGAACAAATACAAACACGTCAGGTTGTCAAACAGGAAAGCACAGAATCCTAAAGACATCACTTCTATGGTATTTTTTCCAATTTAATGTGAGACTGTGGGGGGTATGAATGAATTGGACAAGGTGATTATAAAGCTTACATTAAGAATATGCAAGGGGGGCTAGTGTTGTGGCTCAGCAGTAGAGCTCTTGTCTAGCATGTTCAATCCTCAGCACCAGATAAAAGTAAATAAATAAAATAAAGGTATTGTGTTCAACTACAACTAAAAAATAAATATTAAAAAAATATGCAAGGAAGAATAGACAAGTTTGTCCTTAAAGAGTTGCAACAGACCCACGATGGTAATGGCCTAAGACCTGGGGTTGACCACTAAGTGGCCCCTGACAGGGAAGAGCGCTGGCAGAGACCCCATTTCCTTCTTCAGCTGGGCTTTTGCTTGGCTGTGTGGGACCCTGGTGGCCACCAGRGGGAGATCTTGATGCTGTCCTGCCTAGGCTGTGCTGGCCCCACCCTACCACCACCTCCAGGTGCCC